GGAGGAGCTCAGCTTCCCCCAGGTGAGGGGCCGGAGGGGCACCCGGCCATCGCCCCCATCGGGACTGGGGCCCAGCCCTGCTCGGGGGGCACAGGGAGGTGGGGGTGGGGCTGCAGCGCATCCCCCTGTGTGTCCCCCTCCAGCTCTGACCCTGCAGTGTACCCCCTCAGACCTGCCCTTGCAGCCCGTCCCCCAGCCTGAGCCCTCCTGGTGCACCTCCAGGCCCCAGCCAGGGCTTGGAGCACCGGCCCAGCTCGGCCACCCAGTGCTGCCCGCAGAGCTGCCTCATGGGGCAGGCCAGGGGCCGAAGCCCCACCAGGGCCCCCCTGCCCTGGCCTGCTGCTGTCCAGCCGGAGCCCCGGATCCTGCAACGCCCACCATCTTCAAACCTAGGGGCAGTGCAGCTGTTCTGGGTTTGGGGTTAGGCACTGGTGTCCCCCCAGCGGTGCTGGGCATGGCCTCCAGCCGGCGCTGCAGGTTCTGAGCTGACACCGTGGGGTGGTGGCATGGGAGTGGGGTGTTTGCCTACCACACATCTGGGGCTGCACTGGGGTGCTCACAGCCTCCCTGCACTGCCGGGGGATGCCTCAGACACCCCCTCCCCACAGCCCCCCTGCTCCAGCCTGTCCCCATGCCAGGCTCCTATCTGTCCTGCTTTGTCACACCCGCTGGTTCCTCGTGCCCTGTGGGCATGCCAAGGGGCCAGGCTGGGGGCAGAGATGCCAAGTCAGGGGAGACAGCACAGAAGAAGGGTGCTCTGGGTGGTGGGTTCTCGGGGCAGTGGGGCGGTGGCACCCTGAGGCAGTGACTTGGCAGACGGTGCCACCCCCATGCCATACAGCTTGCAGGGAGGGGGTTCCTGGTCGGCATGGCCTCCTGCTGCAGCTACCTGGCAGAGCAGAGCCACCGGCTGGAGGCCACAGCGGTGACGGTGACCGTCCTGGGTGGGCAGAGCCTGGCCATCAGCACCTTCAGGAAGCTGTGAGTGATGCCGGCTACTGGGGCCACAGGCAGGGACAGGGACACTTTGGGCAGGTCGGAGCAGGGCTGGTGCCCTGGGATGGGGACGCTGGATGGGACAGGGACGCTGAAGCAGGTTGGAGCAGAACCAGTGCTCTGGCCATGGGCCCTAAGGAGGAGAGAGCTGCCTTGGAGCAAAGTGTGGGTGGGATGTTTTGTGGTAGAAGCCCTGCCACAGCAGGCTGGCACCCTGTCACCCACATGGTCACTAGCCCGGGGTAGGCTTGGGCTGCACAGGCTGGGCAGGGTTGGGGGCAGCCCGGCTGGGGAAACAGGCACCGATCGGGCACATGGTCACTCCATGAGCGACCAGCCAGGGCCCCGCTCTCAGGGCCAGCCCAGCGGCAGCAGGGCTGAGGAGGGGGATCTTCCGTCCATCTGTGGGCACTTCCCCGCTGCCTGGGGCGGGTAGTCTGAGGGGCTGAGCCAGGCTCAGAGCTGCAGGGAGGGGACAGGGACCTCTCAGGCTCAGCAAGATTTCGGGCTCTGTGTCTCTCACTGTGGCTCCACGGTGCTCTGGGATATCTCTTTCCAGCATCTCCCCAGGGAGAAAGCAGTCTCAAGAAAACAGACACTGTGTGTGCCCTGGCAAGTGGGGCGGGTGGGGGCCCGGGTTGGATCCTCCTCAGCCTGTGCCGACAACCTTTTCCTCTTCCCATACAGGGATGGGATGTGCTGGGAAATCAGGCAGCGCTACCTCCCTGCCCAGGCCCACGGACGCTTCCTCCTGAAGGGTGAGGGAGGCTGGGCTGGGGTGGCGTGGGGACTGCAGGCACCGTGGAGCTGGAGCCCCCCACTCCTGCTCTCAGCAGGGCTTTGGTACCAGTGCCCTCCCAGTATCCCACCTCTGGGGTCTCAAAGTGCCCCAGTGCTGAATGCTATCACGGTGGTAGGGAATGGCACCCTGTGGGGCTGCACCCGCTCTGGCCCTGATTTTCACCCCTTGTACACCCACTCATGGTGAAATGAGGCCCCTGGACAGTACTGGGGCTAACCAGGGTTAACCAGGGCTAACCGGGGCTGCCCCTCTGTCTTTCCCAGGCCGTGGCTATGGCAGCAAAGTGGATGTGGTGGTGGGTGAGACGGACCACAGCACCTACGCCATCCTCTATTACCAGAAGGGCCAGAACATCTCAGTCAAGCTCTATGGTGGGTTGGTGCTCGGGCACTTGGGCAGCAGAGGGGTGGGAAACCGGTGCTGCGCTCAGGGGATGCCCGCCAGAGCCACAGAGAACCCTGAGGTAGGGATAGGGTCTCTCCATGGGGGCCAGTCCCCCAATGGAGGGTTTTGGCCCCAAACACTGTGGAGGGAGGAGCCTGTAACCAGCTTCTCTGAGCTGAAAGACCCTTTGGCCCCAAGCCTTGCCGTGGGGGGCACGGGAGGCTTTGGGGCAGAGCTCAAGGTTGGTGATGGCATCTCCCTCCCTGTGCAGGACGGACCAGCCAGGTCAGCGACGCCATTGTGGACAAGTTCAAGCAGCGTGTCAGGGCTGTGGGCCTGAGCGAAGATGTGACCTACTACTTCCCCCCATATGGTGGGTGGCACACGGTCCCCTGGGAGCAGGGGGCACCCATGACGAGGGCTGTGCCCAGGAGGGGCCTGGCAGCAGGGGCTGGGGTCCAGCCCTTCCAGCGTGGGGAGGGGAAGGCACATCCACACAGGTTTGTGCAGCTTGTGGCCCCATGTCACCCGCAGTAGGGGCACGTGTGGGGTCTGTCCCCATGCTGTGGCTACCCCAGGGACAAGGATGCAAGATGCAAGGACTAGGCTGTGTCCCACAGTGTCCCTGGGGTGCAGGGCTGGGGGCTCACGGGTGCCCAGGCAGGATGACCGCCCCAGGCTCTCTCTCTTGCAGGGTTTTGCGACTCTGCAGATGAGTTTCACATCCTTGACGGTGAGTTGCGGATCCTGGGCGATGCGCTGGGTCTCCCCCATGAGTCAGGCTTGGCCCCACCTTGGGCACCACATGGGTTCTCCCTGCCCTGGCTGTGGGCTGGGCACTGGGCTGGACCCACACCACACCAAGGCCGTGTGGTCCTGTCCCAGGGGCACAGGGGGGCTGGGCTGGCGTGGGGGGTCCATGCCAGACCATCCCCCAGAACAGGGTCCCTCCATGCCCTTGTGTGGGGTGAGGAGGTGGCAGACCATCACCCAGGATGGGCATCAGATGCCCTCTGGCAAAGGAAAGCCCTGCTTGCCCCCCACATGGGTTAGGCTGGACTTAGTGGGGTCTATATTGGTGTTTCTGGGGGTGGGGGCTGGTGTGAGATGGGGTGTCCTGGGACAGTGATGTCCCAGGGTGAGGGCTGGGGTCCCCAGGGACAGCTCCACCACTTGTCATTGGTGCTTGGGGAGGCAGAGGTGGGTCTCCAGCCCTGGTGCTGGGCTCAGGCATCTCCCCAGACCCTCAGCACTTCTCTTTC